ATACAGGTTACTAGAAAAGTTCATCAGTTGAAAACGCGGTTTCGAAGAACAGGGCAGACAGCTCACATCGTCCCATCGAAACTTATCCGAGTTATCTGCTTCTTTTCACTTCGCCCCCGAATCTAGTGCATCCACTCCTTCTTCTAGCAGATTCTCTACAATTTCTTTGCATGATTACGTTACTAGATATAATGCAAAGGAGCGAATCGGATACACCGGAAAGATCATCCCGAAAACAACGAGCCGTAGAACTGCACAAGAACTTTGACCGCAGCTGGATACAGCATTTGTCATCTGTATACCCTAAGTTCTGGATATGTTAAAATCTATCACGCAGATTATGAACTCAACGAACATCACGGTTAAATTCAAATCTAAAAGAACTCTAAGATCACTACTAAAGAATGGAATGTGAAAGATCGGACAGCTCTTAACGATGCAATGGATGTGATGTACCAGATCGACTGGATGACTTGAAATCTATGATACACTGGCCAGACAACAGGGCTATTATGAGTCAGAGTACCTGAGCACATGCGAGCCACAAACGCGCAGAGCGGAAATTGAAAAAAATATCTGGACTGGATTTCAGCGCATACAACTTTACACCATATCTACAAGCACCACACCATAAGACCCATGACAATAATATCAAATAGCATGTTCGAACGAGTCTTGCTAGAAGCTTTCATGATTCAAACAAAAGAAAATGCTATGAATCGGGACTACAGGCTAGAAATGCCAAAGACAGAGGATTATCTACAGAAAAGGTCTGCAAGGTCAAAGTCATTTCGAAACTATATAGGTGATCCAGGAGCCACTTCGTTGGTACCTGCTGAACGTGGTCAGTGCGAGACGATGGATGGTTAGGACCAAGTTTTCTGACCAAAACTCCTAGTGATAATAAAACATCACACAGATTATCTTTGCCAAGAAGGCAAAGGAATCGGTGAGTTTCCTGACTTGGATGATAAAGTTTGCTAACTACGGTCGAGACCTGGGCCGATTTATTCAGTAACTTACTTCATGTAAATATTTCAAGTAAAAGTTTTCTACCTTTATTCTACTACGTTCGCTGGGGTGGGAGAAATCCACGATTGTAGAAGAAAACGACGACTTCTTCGAAGGTCACTGTTCAAACCAGCTCAATGAAACTCAGTGTGACTGCCAAAATGAAGGAACAATTTTAACAACGGTTGGGCACCTATTAAATATTACATTAACGTAGCTAAACCTAAGCTACGAGCAATTACAGTGAATCCGCTGGAAGGAGTAAGCAATGTTCCGGGACATGCATTCGAACGGGGCGGATAACACAGCACACAGCACATTTCTCTTATTC